CCTATTTTATTTTTTTGGAGTTTTATGGTTTAGGAAGGGGGTAGGGAAGCAAGGAATCGCACTTTGCAATGCTGGAAGGAATCGCACTTTGCCATTCAGTTCCGGTCTTGCTTGAGGAAAATGAGCTAATTTGGCTGGTCCGAATTTTTACAAGAATTTTAATCCACTCATTTTTGTAGGAATCAATGAGCTTAGTGTAAAAGTTCGATCGAAACTGAGGAATTTTCAAGTACAGTAGATAATCTGAAAATGTGAAGTATGTGCTTTGTAGGTGAAAAAATTCACTTGCTTAAGCACAGCATCGTACCTTGTCTTTTGGTATTTAATAAAGTCCCTTCTTTTGGTTTCGTTGGTTAAGAATCTCCACAACTACGATAGTTTTGCCGGAGAAAACAGGAAGCTTTGTAAGGGATAGAATCGGAAATTTGGGGTAATTTTTATCTGCGAACTTAATAGACATACTGTTCGTCGCACAGATCTATTATGTGTTAGTTCCACTCTATTTCGCTAATTGTCATTTTCAGTAAGATTGTATATTTTATAGGAATGACAGAAGTAGAGGTAAAATCGCTCGGCTATCACTCGTCGACGGGATCACCAGAAGCCTCAGATGTGTCTGACTCTATTGTACTGCAATCAAAACAATCTGTAAAGTGTGTTATTGCTGACGACGATGTAAACAACGATCTAGATGAATCTGTAGAACCATTGGATCAGGGAAAAGATGTATCAGAAAAAGCAGAAAAAACTATCTCTGCAAAATCGCTCGGCTATGACTCTTCGACAGGATCACTAGAAGGCTCAGATGTATCTGACTCTATTGTACTGCAATCAAAACAATCGGTAAAGTGTGTTATTGCTGACGACGACGTAAACAACGATCCAGAGGAATCTGTAGAACCATTGGATCAGGAAAAAGATGTATCAGAAAAAGCAGAAAAAACGATCTCTGCAGAAGCTCCTTCTTTTATTTATACTGAAACAGGTTTCGGTTTCGAATTTTGTTTGTAT